CCGCCCCCCCCCCCCCACAAGACCAAAAAAGGGCGCGTGGTGCATTGATCAACCTTGGGTCAAGCCACACACACCAACTGACACACAACCCTAAGCTTGACCTGACCGTCATACTCACCGCGAGGGTTGGCGCAGGCGTGGCAGGGTCGTCCACTACGATGTCTGACGCCACCGTCACCCCAGTGCCCAGATCGATCGCCGGGAGAGAGTCGCCCATCTCGTCGGCGCCGTCCCCCCTAGAATCCGTGTCTCCCAGGCCAAGGGCGCCCAGCTCGTTTAGCCCCCAGCACTGCGTTAGGGAGGGAGGGATGGAGGGAGGCGGGCACGCACCCACGCAGAGTCGGGGGTCAGGTTACCGCAAAGCATACGAGTGGTGACAAAATGGTGCGCCGCACGGACAGGACACAGCGCAAAAAGACCTCCAGAGGGGATCCCCACATAGCAGTAGTGCCGGTACAGGCATATATCGCTCCGTCCCGGCAGTGCAAGAAAACGTTTCAACAACTACCGTATATGACACAAGATAACACATCCCCTTGGCCGATTTTCAAAGCTCGATTTCTCAACAGCAGGAAGAGTCACAGCGCCGAAAACGGCGGCGTTGGAACAGTCTCGTCGAGAGCTGTTCGAAAACGTATTGTTTCATTTATGCATCCTCTTCGTCGTGGAGTAATCGAGCTTTGAAAATCGGTCCAGGGGGTGTGTTATCTTGTGTCATATACGGTATACGGCATAAATCTACATGAGTACCCCCACCCCCCCCCCGCCCCCGCCGTCTTTCATTTATACTGACTACAACACTGAAACGGCAAGTAAGTGCGCACTGGTACAATATATACCTTGACGCTGCCGTCGTCGAGCCCAGCACAGGTGAAGTCCGCCCCCGCGGCTAAGAAAGACGACGTCGCGTTCGTTCCCAGGTCGACGGCGGCCAGCCCCGCGCCCATCTCACCGACGTACTTGCCCCGGGAGTAGTACTCCCCCCTTCCCAGCTGTCCCGCGAAACCCTTGCCCCAGCACCTTGGGGGAACGAGGAGGGGGGGGGCATGGTATGATTGCTGCAGCAACGAAAAACATTCGGCGGGCTTGCCGCGCACCGAAGCGCTAAAGAGGGCGACATGTCGCTATCATGTAGCTTGATCCCACCGCCGTAATACATAATCAAGCCCGTAAATTAAAGCCGCCGCACATAAGGTCTTCGCCACAAATATCTTTGGTCCGCCGCCTAACCACAACGCCACGCCGCCGCCTACCCAACGACGCACCTGGTGCTGCCATCCCCCAGAATGGCGCAGGTGTGGCTCTCTCCTAGGGAGAGCGAGGTTGCCGTGTTCCCTGCGCCGAGATCGACGTAGGGCAGGTCATCCCCCATCTCGAAGGGGTCGTCGCCGATGGTATCGACGTGCCCGAGGCCCAGCTGCCCAGACCTGTTGTCCCCCCAGCACTGTTGTTGTCCAAGTAGTTTACAAGAAAATTAGGTGCGCCAGACGTGAGAGACGGGAAGGGCGGAGGGTCGTTTGCACCCATGCGAAGGGGCGACTCATCTCTGATACATTCTTCCCGAAATTAAAAAAGAAAATCTGATGTGTCCTTCTATCCTAAAACCAATAGAACTAGAAGAAAAAAAAAATCCGTCATATTTTGAAGAAATATGCACATGTTTGTTTCATCGCCGTTCTTTCGAAAAACCGTAGTGACGTGTGCCCCTGCCATGCTGGTGTCGCTACTGCTGCTTCATATTGGCGAGGTCCCGTTACTTCAACTGATTTCGCCGAGAGAGGAACTAGTCCAGCCAAACACGACGAATAAATAAGCTCAAAAAGAATCTCACCTTGACGCTGCCTCCCATCAGGATAGCGCACGCGTGTCGGAGGCCGTACGCAACGTAGTAGCCTGTCTCACCGGTTCCGAGGTCCACCTGTTCCACCACAAAATCGACCGAGAGCAAGTCGCGCGCCGTGAGTCGGAAGAAAAGTTGAGAACATAAATTAGGGTGTCAAGTAACGGGAATCGTCCTCGATAGACCACAGTCGGGAGATGGGATATTCTTGAGGTCACCATGCTTCATGGGGGGGCGAGGTAGAACAATTACGAAACCGGATATGTAACGATCTACCAAATATACCAAGCAACACATGCACCTCCTGGACGTTGTCTCCCATGTCGTCTTCCTCATCCCCCACGTTGTACGAGTCCCCGACCCCAAGGCCACCGTAGCTGTTCCCCCCCCAGCACTTGACCCCGCCTCCCAGGAGAGCGGCGCAGGTGGAAGCGGTGCCCGAGGATACCGATATCATCTCGACGCCGGTACCGAGATTCACGTAAGGGAGGTTATCGCCCATGTCCTCCAGACCGTTGCTGCCGACGTTCGTGTCCAGGTTTCCGCGGCCGCACTGGCCCTCGTCGTTTCGGCCGAAGCACTGGGTGTTGGGTGGCATCGCGACACAAAAAGGGGGAGGTGGTCGGTGAACAACACGTTCCGAGTTGACGTTCTTTTCTTGTAAGGCGAGAGAGCTAGCAGCTTTGGCCAAAGTCGGACGATAGAAATAGTTGGCGATATTCGGCTCTGAATATTTTTCCGCTCGCAAGAGCAGAAAACAAATTTCAAAACACAAAAAAATAAAAGACCATGTAAGAACGACGTGCACACAGAGGCAGCAAAAGCCCCCAGAAATTTAGTCATGTCACCCAAGCAAAAAGAGCCGCAAAAAAAACATGGCCGTTTTACCGAAGAAAACTAAAAAAACAGGCGTTTACCTTGACGCCGCCGCCCTCCACAAGCACGCAGGTGAACTGCTGGCCCGTCGTTATCGCGACGGCTACCGCTGTTCCGTTCCCGGACGGCGCAGTGCCGAGATCAACGGCCGTGAGGTTGTTGCCCATGGTAGCGGGGTCGTCCCCGCGGTCAAGAAAATCTCCCTTGCCGAGCTGGCCCCAGTCGTTGCGACCTGTGAAGGGGAGACCAAAGAGAGCCAGCGGCCGTCCGTGTGGTGGTTGTCACACCGCCGTCAAAGGTTGGTTGGTCGTAAGCATGAGTGAGTCAGCGGTGGTACTTCGGGGCAATGTATAACGTAGGAGGAGCTGAAGTCCCTGCCGCGGCCAAGGTATGTGTCTCGTTTGGCCTGTTACCTATGCATGTACATACGCAGACTACTTCGCTCAAGCGTCGGCGAGTCA